CACCCCACCTCTCACACTACCTCCTCCCCCACACCTCCTCTCCCCACCCACCTCCTCTCCACACCCACCTCCTCCACCCTCCTCCCTCCCTCCTCTCACCCCCACACCTCCTCTCCACACCCACCTCCTCTCCCACCCTCCTCACACCTCTCCTCTCCCCCTACCTCCTCTCCACCCCCCCTCCCTCTCCCCACCCCTCCCTCTCACCCCACCTCCTCTCACCCCCTGCCCCATCTCCAACACCCCACCTCCTCTCACCCCATCCTCTCCCACACCCCACCTCCTCTCACTCCTCCTCTCACCCACCTCCTCTCCACCCCCCCTCCTTCCACCCCCCCTCCTCCTCACCCCACCTCCCTCACACCCCCCTCCTCTCCCTCCCCACCTCCTCTGCACCCCACCTCCTCTCAACCCCTCCCCTCTCCCCCACCTCCTCCACCACCCCTCTCCCCCCAACCCCTCCCCACCCACCTCCTCTCCACCCCACCTCACCCCACACCCACCTCCTCTCCCACACCCACCTCCTCCTTTTCCCACCTCCTCTCACCCCACCTCCTCTCCCCCCTCCTCTCCACCACCTCCTCTCCCCACACCCTCCTCTCACACCCCACCTCCTCCCCCCACCTCCTCCACACCCCTCCTCTCCACACCCCTCCTCCTCTCACCTCCTCCACTCCTCCCACACCCCACCCCCCCTCACCCTCCTCCCCTACCTCCTCTCACACCCCTCCTCCCACCTCTCTCTCACACTCCTCCCTCCCCACCCCACCTCCTCTCCCCACCCCCCTCCTCCCCACACTCACCTCCTCTCCCCACCCCCACCTCCCTTTCTTCTCACCCCACCTCCTCTCCCACCCACCTCCTCTCCACCCACCTCCTCTCACACCCCTACCTCCTCTCCCCTCACCTCCCTCTCCACCCACCTCCTCCACATCACCTCCTCTCACACCTCCTCTCACACCCCCCTCCTCCCCACACCTCCTCTCACACCCACCTCCTCTCCCCTCCTCTCTCCACCCCCCCTCCTCTCCATCCCTCCTCTCCCACACCAACCTCCTCTCCCCCCACCTCTCCCCCCACGCCTCTCACTCTCCTCCACCCCCTCCTCTCCACCCCTCCCCTCTCCCTACCCCTCCTCCCACACACCTCCTTCTCTCACTCCCACCTCCCCTCCCCCCTCCTCCTCTCACACACCCCCTCTCCCTCCTCTCACACCTCCTCCTCACACCACCTCCTCTCCACCTCCTCTCCACACTCCCCCTCCTCTCCCCCTCCCTCTCTCTTCCCCCACCTCCTCTCCCACCTCCCTCCTCTCCCCACCCCACCTCCTCTCCACACCCTACCTCTCCACACCTCACCTCCTCACCCCCTCTGGCCTCCTCCTCCCTCTCACACCCCCCCCCTCTCCACCCACCTCCTCTCCCACACCCCACCCCTCCTCTCACCCACCTCCTCTCCCACCCCCCCTCCTCTCCTCCCACCTCCTCCACCCCTCCTCCTCACCCCACCTCCTCTCACACCCACCTCCTCTCCCACCCCCCCTCTCCACCCCCCTCCTCCACCCCCTCCTCTCCACCCCCTCCTCCACCTCCTCTCCCCACCCCCCTCCTCTCACCCCCTCTCTCTCTCTCTCCCTCTCCCACCCCCTCCTCTTCCCCCTCCTCTCACCCCCCTCCTCCTCCCACCCCCTCCTCTCACACCCACCTCCTCTCCCCCACCCCTCTCTCCACCCCCTCCTCCACCCTCTTCTCCACACCCCACCTCCTTCCTCCCACCCACCTTCTCACACCCATCTTCTTTCAAACCCCCCCTCCTCTCACACCCACACTCTCTCACATCCTCCTCTCACACCCCACCTCTTCTCCCACCTCCTCCTCTCCCCCTCCTCTCCACACCCCACCTCTTTTCTTCCCACCTCTTCTCCACACCCCACACCTCTTCTCCCACCCCTTCTTCCTACCTCCTCTCCCCCACCTCCTCCTCCCATCCACCTCCTCTCACCCCCTTCTCCCACCCACCTCCTCTACACCCCACCTCCTCTCACACCTCCTCCTCTCACCTCACCCTCCACTCCCACCTCCTCCTCACCCACCTCCTCTCACACCCCCCTCTTCTCCACACCTCTCTCCCCCTCCTCTCCCACACCACCTCCTCTCACACCCACCTCCTCTCACATCCCACTCCTCTCCCACCTCCTCTCACCCCCTCTCTCCACCCCCCTCCTTCACTCCTCTCCCCCACACACCACCTCTCTTCTCCACCCTTCCTCTCACCCCTCCCCCCCCTCTCTCACACACCACCTCTTCTCCCACCCACCTCCTCTCACACCCACCTCTTCTCACCCACCTCCTCTCACACCTCCTCCCCCTCCTCTCTCCACCCCACCCCCCTCTTCTCACACCCACCTCCCTCCTTCCCTCCTCTCCACACCACCTCTTCTCCACACCCACCTCTTCTCACCCCACCTCCTCTCACACCCCCTTTCTCACACCCATCTCCTCTCACACCCCACCTCCTCTCATCCACCTCTTCTCACACCCACCTCTTCTCACACCCACCTCTTCTCACACCCACCTCTTCTCTCATACTCTCCTCCTCTCACTCCTTGTTACAACGACACAAACATATGAACGCTGAAAATTTCTTCCTAATTTTCAATAAAGCACTGTCATTGGTCCAGCCACCATGATCTCCGATGACGTAATTTTCATGAATTCAGATGATTGGATAATTAATGACGCTACACAAACACATGCCACGTTCACTTCGATTAATTCAGAAACACGTTCAACCAATCAATTAGAATTAATGACAAAGGTAATTATAAAACAGATGATTTAGGTAATGTATTTATGCACAAGCACGCGTAACATTCACTGTGTATAGTGTTAAGAGAGTGTAGCTGGCCGCGGAGGTGAACATAAAACACTGTGTGTGTGTGTGTGTGTCGTGACTGTTTTCTGCCGCTGTTGTAAGATGAATTAATTATATGTTTTGTTATATTATGGCTCAGTTTATATATTAATGAATTAATTAATTTATTTATTTATTTATTTATATATTTATTTATACTTACATATTTATTGCATTTAATTATAAGTTTTAGAATAAAGATATCTATGAACGAAAAGATGAGTGGAAAGGGAAAACCTTCATTAGTCTAAAACAATGTACTACAGGCTGAAACATATCAAAGGGGTTGGCAGCATTGGGTTAGCCTAGTGTCACTGTCACTACCCTGAGCCAACATCTTCACTATTGTCAGGAGAACGTGTGATGGTGGTACTGGGTCGATCCCTCAAAGAACTTATACTCTGTACCTGGTGTTGTGTGGTAGAGAACTTTGTGCACTGTGTTGGTTCCCTCCATAGTTGACCTCTGTGATCATGTTGACTCTTGCACCGCCACACACAAACCATACCATCCAAGTACCACCTCTCACCCTACTACACCCCTCCAAGTACCACCTCTCACCCCTACCTACACCCCTCCAAGTACCACCTCTCACCCCTACCACACTCTTCCAGTACCACCTCTCCCACTCCACTACACCCTCCAGTACCACCTCTCACCCTCACCCACACCTCCCGTACCACCTCTCACCCCTACCTACACCCCTCCAGTACCACCTCTCACCCCTACCCACACCCCTCCAAGTACCACCTCTCCTCCCTACCTACACCCCTCCATTTCCACCTCTCACCCCTCACCTACACCCCTCCAAGTACCACCTCTCACCCCTACCCACACCCTCCAAGTACCACCTCTCACCCCTACCCACACCCTCCAGTACCACCTCTCACACTACTACCTCCATCCTCCCCTCACCCCTACCTACACCCCTCCAGTACCACCTCTCACCCCTACCTACACCCTCCAAGTACCTCTCACCTCACCTCAGTACCACCTCTCACCCACCCCTCCAAGCCCTCACACCACCTCCAGCTACCTCTCACCCCTACCTACACCTCCAAGTACCACCTCTCACCCCTACCCACACCCCTCCAAGTACCACCTCTCCTCCTACCTACACCCCTCCAGTACCTCTCCCCCTACCTACACCCCTCCAGGCCTCTCCTCCCCTCTACCTCCTCCAGTGCCACCTCTCACCCTCCTACACCCCTCCAAGTACCACCTCTCACCCCTACACCCTCCCACCTCTACCCCTTCACCCCACCTCCAGTACCACCTCCTCCTCCCCTACTACACCCCTCCCACCACCCCTCCAAGTACCTACCTCTCACCCCACCTACACCTCAAGTACCACCTCTCACCCTACACCCCTCCAAGTACCTCTCCACCCCTACCCACACCCTCCATCTCACACCCACACCCTCAGTGCCACCTCTCCTCCCTACCTACACCCTCCAAGTACCACCTCTCACTCCTCCTACACCCTCAAGTACCACCTCTCACTACACCCTCCATGCCTCCTCACCCCTACCCCAAGTACCCTCTACTACCCTATAAAAGTTATTCTAAAAAACTTCAGTATTTTAGGGCTTATTCGGCCATTATTCTCCTTTCTAAAAGCATAATTTGTCTTGTAGATGAACCAATGTCTAACAGATAAATGTTATATCTTGGCCTGTGCACCATAACACTCACTACACCACTTACAGTATTATCTTGGTCTCTGCACCATAATACTCACTAAACCACTTACGGTATTATCTTGGCTCACCTCACTACCCTCTGCACCACACTCACTACACCACTTTCAGTATTATCTTGGCCTCTGCACAATAACACTCACTTCACCCTTTATATTATCTTCACCATAACACTCACTACACCACTTATAGTATTATCTTGGCCTCTGCACCATAACACTCACTACACCACTTATAGTATTATCTTGGCCTCTGCACCATAACACTCACTACACCACTTTCAGTATTATCTTGGCCTCTGCACCATAACACTCACTACACCACTTACAGTATTATCAAAGTCAATATTCATAATAATTATTTTTTCCTTGAAATTCGTTCTTACAACTAATATACATTGTCCTCGATAACTGTGTAGTTGTCCTCGATAACTGTGTAGTTGTCCTCGATAACTGTGTAGTTGTCCTCGATAATTGTGTAGTTGTCCTCGATAATTGTGTAGTTGTCCTCGACAACTGTGTAGTTGTCTTCGATAACTGTGTAGTTGTCCTCGAAGACAGTTTAGTTATCCTCGTAGACTGTGTAGTTGTCCTCTATGACTGTGATTGTCCTCGATGACTGTGTAGTTGTCCTCAATGACTGTGACTTGTCCTCGATAACTGTGTAGTTGTTCTCGATAACTGTGTAGTTTTCGTCGATGACTGTGTATTTTCTCATGACTGTGTAGTTGTCCTCGATGACTGTGTAGTTTTCCTCAATGACTGAGTAGTTGTCCTCGATGATTGTAGCTGTTCTCGATGACTGTCTAGTTGTCCTCGATGACTGAGTAGTTGTCCTCGATGACTGTAGCTGTTTTCGATGACTGTGTTGTCCTCGATGAGAGTTTAGGTTTTCTCGTAGACTGTGCAGTTGTCCTCGATGACTGTGTAGTTGTCCTCGATGAGAGTTTAGGTTTTCTCGTAGACTGTGCAGTTGTCCTCGATGATTGTGTAGTTGTCCTCGATAACTGTGTAGTTGTCATCGATGCCAGTTTAGTTGTCCTCGTATTGTAATTGTTCCCGATGACTGTGTAGTTGTCCTTGTTGACTGTAATTGTCCTCGATGACTGTATAGTTGTCCTTGATGACTGTGTAGTTGTCCTCGATGACTGTGTAGTTGTCCTCGAAGAAAGCTAAGTTGTCCTCGATGACTATAGCTGTCCTCGATGACTGTTTAGTTGTCCTCGATGACTGTGTAGTTGTCCTGTCCATGATGACTGTGTAGTTGTCCTCGTAGACTGTGATAAGGTTAAAGGTAGAGGAACTCTGTGTGTGTGTACAGAGGTGTTCCTAAGGTGACTACAATACTTCAACATAATATATTCAACCGTATATTAATACCGTCCTTGTAGTGTGAATTTGAGACTGTGGTGTTGAGTGTAGGATAAAGTCACATATACCTCACCTGAAATTACCTAACTTATCAGGTATTAAAGACTTACATAAATTTAACGTGATGGGATTATTTTTCTGCAGAAATGTAATGTTTGGAATAAATTTTTGTCGTGGAAAGTTGTTATATGATTTTGTCTTGTGGTGAGGGAGCTTGATGTAGTGAGGGGTCGTCATGGTGTTGTGAGGAGTCGTCTTGGTTTGGTGAAGCGTCGTCTTGGTATAGTGAGGGAGCGTCTTGATGTAGTAAGGGAGCGTCTTGGTATAGTGAGGGAGCGTCTTGTGTAGTAAGGGTGGGTCTTGGTGGGTGGAGGAGGTTGCCTAGGTAGTGAGGGAGCGTCTTGGTGTGGTGAGAGAGCGTCTTGGTGTAGTGAGGGGAGCGTCTTGTGTTGAGGAGCGTCTTGGTGTAGTGAGGGAGCGTCTTGGTAGTGAGAGAGCGTCTTGGTGTAGTGAGGAGCGTCCTGGTGTGTTGAGGGAAGCGTCTTGGTGTAGTGAGGGAGCGTCTTGTAGTAAGGAAGGTCTTGGTGTGGTGAGGAGCGTCTGGTGTAGGTGAGGAGTTGCCTGGTGTAGTGAGAGAGTGCTTGGTGTAGTGAGGAGCGTCTTGGTGTAGTAAGGAGCGTCTTGGATAGTGAGGGAGCGTCTGTAGTAAGGAAGCGTCTTGGTGTGGTGAGGGAGCGTCTTGGTGTAGTGAGGGAGCGTCTTGGTGTAGTGAGGGAGCGTCTTGGTGTAGTGAGGGATGCTCGGTGTGGTGAGGGAGCGTCTTGGAGTGAGGGAAGGTTCTTGTGTGGAGGAGCGTCTTGTGTGGAGGAGCGCCTGGTGTAGTGAGGGCATCTGGTGTGGTGAGGGAGCGTCTTGGTAGTGAGGGAGCGTCTGGTGTAGTGAGGGAGCGTCTGGTGGTGGAGGAGCGTCTTGGTGTAGTGTGAGGGAGCGTCTGTGTGGTGAGGGAGCGTCTGGTGTAGTGAGGGAGCATCTTGGTGGTGAGGGAGCGTCTTGGTGTAGTGAGGGTCTTGGTGTAGTGAGGAGCGTCTTGGTGTAGTGAGAGCGTCTTGGTGTGGTGAGGGAGCGTCTGTGGTGAGAGAGCGTCTTGTGGAAGGGGTCGTCCTGGTGTAGGAGGAAGGTCTTGGTGTGTTGAGAGAGCGTCTTGGTGTGGAGGTTGGGTGGGCCTTGGGGGGTGAGGGAGTTGTGCAGTGAGGGGGTTTGTGTAAGGGAGGGTCTTGGGTAGTGGAGGGAGTTGGTGTGGTGGAGGGAGTCTTGGTGGGTGAGGAGCCCGTGTGGGAGAGAGAGTGTCTTGTGTGTTGAGGGAGCGTCTGGTGTAGTGAGGAGCGTCTTGGTGTGTGTGAGGAGCATCTTGGTGTAGTGAGGGGGTCTTGTGTGGGTGAGGTTGCGCCTTTGTGTGGTGAGGGACGGCTTAGTGTAGTGAGGATGCATCTTGGTGTAGTGAGGGAGGCTTGGTGTGGAGGGAGCGTATTGGTGTTTGTAAGGGAGCGTCTTGGTGTGTGAGGGACGTCTTGGTGTGGGTGGAGAGCCTCTTGGTGGTGAGGGAGCGTCTTGGTGTAGTGAGGGAGCGTATTGGTGTGGTTAGGATGCGTCTTGGTGTAGTGAGGATGCGTCTTGGTGTGGTGAGGGAGCGTCTTGGTGTGGTGAGGAGCGTTTGGTGGTGGAGGAGCGTCTTGGTGTAGTGAGGAGCGTCTTGTGTAGGAAGCGTCTTGGTGTAGTGAGGATGCGTCTTGGTGTGGTGAGGAGGTCTTGGTGTGGTGAGGGAGCGTCTTGGTGTGGTGAGGAAGAAAGAGTGTCCCACAAGACTATTGACAGAGGCTGGGTCATCCATCGTGGAGCGTGCGTCACCTTACTCACTGTAACGTCACTGCCACCTGGGGACTCGCCCTCTCCTGACAAATCGTTGTCACAAGTGTAAACAAGTGTATTGTGTGCTAAAACAACTTCCATTTTCCTGACCATAAGTAGACGATACAAATGTTGAGGTTGACAGGTGTGTGGTGTTAATATACAGGTTAGGTTAGGTTAGGTTAGGTTTGTTAGGTTAGGTTAGGTTTATTAGGTTAGGTTAAGTTTGGTTAGGTTAGGTGTGAGCAGTGTGCGAATTAGTTAATATACAAGTGTGTGTTCACATTTGACATTTTTTTTAGACTTAGAGAGATTATTATTATTATTATTATTATTATTATTATTATTATTATTATTATTATTATTATTATTATTATTATTAAATTTTAGTTATGGTTCGCCTTTCAGATGAGTGAGACTGAGTAATGTATTGGCAAGAGCGCAGGACTTAGTGGCGGTAGTGATGGTAGAAGCAATAATACAACCTATACCAGTTACTTGCCAAAACTCGTAGTAAGTGTTGGTCAATATTGCCGGTACAGTAGGAGAAAACCAGTAGGTCAATGTTTGGTAGGTCTCTCTCTCTCTCTCTCTCTCTGTCATCGCAATCGGACAAGAAGTAAACAATCCTTGGTTGTTTCTCTCGTCGGCCACCAGAGGGCAGGAGGATTGATGTGTTATGTGGTCTGGGTCCAGGTGTTTCTTTAACTCCTCCCTCCGCTTGATTCCTCCTTAAGGCAGATATATAACCCTAAGTAAACATACATTACAATTATTTTTATCCCATTAGTCATAAAGACATCTTATCGTAGATGGCCGACTTATTTACTTAATTTATGATTTTTTTCTCCTGTAATTAATTTGTGTCCTTCTTTGTTGACGCACACTACTTTTGTTTATATTGAACTTCTCGGCGTCCTGCTACACTTTAGGTGCTTCTTAGTGCCATCTCGCTCACGGCCCAGAACTGAGTGGCCACGCAAGAGGTCTCTGTAACCTCCAAAATAATGGCTAAGTGTTAGTGGCCACGCAAGAGTTCCCTCAAACCTTCAAAATACTGGTTAAGAGTTAATGGCCAAGCAGGAGACATCAAAGGCTCCCAACAGACGCCCCAAGTGCCACTGAGAACAGAGAGGAGCCGCCCGCCCTGGGGGGGGGAGGTCGAGGCAAGAGGCGGCCCAGCAGGAGACAGCAGTAACTTCCCTCAGGTCCAGGCTGTGCTGCTGCCTGCCAATCAGAAAGAACGGCCACAACAATACCTCCTTTGATACTGACTGAGGTGGAAGCAGTTGTCTGCGATGACTTGATTATGAGTACTGGTAATAGATACACACCCCTGTTGTTCCCATGTTCCACACCATTGTTCCGTTGTGTCGTGAAGTGACCTCTGCTTCAGATATGGCGTTGCATTCCACTTCTAGATGGCATCCAGGGGGCGTGCCTATCTGTTAGGTATCCTAATTGTATTGGGATATCGTGTAACAATGTGAGCCACTGAGACCTACACGAGAACAGAAGAAGCAAGCAGCCTGTGTTTTACTGCCTATTCTACGTCCAGAGTTCCCCTATACTACAGTACACCCGTCTTAAAGTTCATAATATGTTCTGTACTGTTCGTTTCAGTGTTCTTCTGTTCCACTGTTCTTTTTTATTGGTTATTATTTGTTTAATTCGTTGTTCAGTTGATCAACTGTTTCACTGTTCCGTTGATCCACTGTTTCACTGTTCTGCTAATCCGATATTCTGTTGTTCCGATAATTAATTTTTACTGCCGCTTCCTGCATGTCCCAATTATCCTCGACCAGGCTAACAGCCAGCCAGCGATAAGGAGAGACAAACAGTCAGCTATACAAACAGACAGACAGACAGACAGCCATAAAGAGAGACCAACAGTCAACCATACAGCCAGGCAGCCAACCACAAAGATAAACAAAAAGCTAGCCATACAGACATACAAACAACCAGCCAGCCAGCCATAAAGATAGACAGACAGCCAGCCATAACACAAACAAACAGCCAGCGAGCCATAAGAGACACACACACACACACACACACACACAACTCCTGGGTGTAACTATAGACAACAAACTTGACTGGAAGGCCCATGTAATAATACAGTCAAGGCATCCTGTACCGTCTCTACATGCTACGACGACTTAGGTCACTTGGGACGCCCACGCCAGAGCTGAGGACCATCTACAACGCTTTATTCTCCCCAAACTAACGTGGCGTCACCAGCCTGGTCGTCGTCTCAACTCCACCCAACAACGTCAGCTAGAGAAGGCAGAAAAGGCCTGCAGAATCATGCTCGGCGCAGAATATCCGGCTACACCTAACGCTTTCCACCCTGGAAGTGCCATCCTCAGTGACCTCCACCACCAAGCACTGGAAAGGTTTGGCCGACTACTGCACCACCCTGCCATCGCCACCCTGCCACCTGCA